GGGACACATGTTGATGTAGAAGAGACATGAAGAAGAGGGGACACATGTTGATGTAGAAGAGACATGAAGAAGAGGGGACACGTGTTGATGTAGAAGAGACATGAAGAAGAGGGGACACATGTTGATGTAGAAGAGACATGAAGAAGAGGGGACACATGTTGATGTAGAAGAGACATGGAGAAGAGGGGACACATGTTGATGTAGAAGAGACATGGAGAAAGAGGGGACACATGTTGATGTAGAGGAGACATGAAGAAGAGGGGACACATGTTGATGTAGAAGAGACATGAAGAAGAGGGGACACATGTTGATGTAGAAGAGACATGAAGAAGAGGGGACACATGTTGATGAAGAAGAGACATGAAGAAGAGGGGACACATGTTGATGTAGAAGAGACATGAAGAAGAGGGGACACATGTTGATGTAGAAGAGACATGAAGAAAGAGGGGACACATGTTGATGTAGAAGAGACATGAAGAAGAGGGGACACATGTTGATGTAGAAGAGACATGGAGAAGAGGGGACACATGTTGATGTAGAAGAGACATGGAGAAGAGGGGACACATGTTGATGTAGAAGAGACATGAAGAAGAGGGGACACATGTTGATGTAGAAGAGACACGAAGAAGAGGGGACACATGTTGATGTGGAAGAGACACGAAGAAGAGGGGACACATGTTGATGTGGAAGAGACACGAAGAAGAGGGGACACATGTTGATGTAGAAGAGACACGAAGAAGAGGGGACACATGTTGATGTGGAAGAGACACGAAGAAGAGGGGACACATGATGATGTAGAAGAGACATGGAGAAGAGGGGACACATGTTGATGTAGAAGAGACATGAAGAAGAGGGGACACATGTTGATGTAGAAGAGACATGAAGAAGAGGGGACACATGTTGATGTAGAAGAGACATGAAGAAGAGGGGACACATGTTGATGTAGAAGAGACATGAAGAAGAGGGGACACATGTTGATGTAGAAGAGACATGGAGAAGAGGGGGACACATGTTGATGTAGAAGAGACATGGAGAAGAGGGGACACATGTTGATGTAGAAGAGACATGAAGAAGAGGGGACACATGTTGATGTAGAAGAGACACGAAGAAGAGGGGACACATGTTGATGTGGAAGAGACACGAAGAAGAGGGGACACATGTTGATGTGGAAGAGACACGAAGAAGAGGGGACACATGATGATGTGGAAGAGACACGAAGAAGAGGGGACACATGTTGATGTGGAAGAGACACGAAGAAGAGGGGACACATGTTGATGTGGAAGAGACACGAAGAAGAGGGGACACATGTTGATGTGGAAGAGACACGAAGAAGAGGGGACACATGTTGATGTGGAAGAGACACAAAGAAGAGGGGACACATGTTGATGTAGAAGAGACATGAAGAAGAGGGGACACATGTTGATGTAGAAGAGACATGGAGAAGAGGGGACACATGTTGATGTAGAAGAGACATGAAGAAGAGGGGACACATGTTGATGTGGAAGAGACACGAAGAAGAGGGGACACATGTTGATGTAGAAGAGACACGGAGAAGAGGGGACACATGTTGATGTAGAAGAGACACGAAGAAGAGGGGACACATGTTGATGTAGAAGAGACATGAAGAAGAGGGGACACATGTTGATGTAGAAGAGACATGAAGAAGAGGGGACACATGTTGATGTAGAAGAGACATGAAGAAGAGGGGACACATGTTGATGTAGAAGAGACATGAAGAAGAGGGGACACATGTTGATGTAGAAGAGACATGGAGAAGAGGGGACACATGTTGATGTAGAAGAGACATGGAGAAGAGGGGACACATGTTGATGTAGAAGAGACATGAGGAAGAGGGGACACATGTTGATGTAGAAGAGACACGAAGAAGAGGGGACACATGTTGATGTAGAAGAGACACGAAAAAGAGGGGACACATGTTGATGTAGAAGAGACATGAAGAAGAGGGGACACATGTTGATGTAGAAGAGACATGGAGAAGAGGGGACACATGTTGATGTAGAAGAGACATGGAGAAGAGGGGACACATGTTGATGTAGAAGAGACATGAAGAAGAGGGGACACATGTTGATGTAGAAGAGACATGAAGAAGAGGGGACACGTGTTGATTTAGAAGAGACATGAAGAAGAGGGGACACGTGTTGATGTAGAAGAGACATGAAGAAGAGGGGACACATATTGATGTAGAAGAGACATGAGGAAGAGGGGACACATGTTGATGTAGAAGAGACACGAAGAAGAGGGGACACATGTTGATGTAGAAGAGACACGAAAAAGAGGGGACACATGTTGATGTAGAAGAGACATGAAGAAGAGGGGACACATGTTGATGTAGAAGAGACATGAAGAGGGGACACATGTTGATGTAGAAGAGACATGAAGAAGAGGGGACACATGTTGATGTAGAAGAGGATTTTGCATAATAGGTGACCTTTAAGTTGTAGGTTTTTATTGAATATAGATTAAAGGTGTTTAGGGTTATATATATTGAAGGATATTTTCTTTATGTTATGATTAAAATATCTCATTGATAGATTGGACCTCAGTTTTCTTCCTGTGTTTGACATGGATTTGTTTAATCATCTGTAAAGCATTTTGTAATTGTGTGTCAACAGCACTGTTTATTTGTACATGGCTTAATATAATGAGCAGCAATGCGAACTCAAACTCAATGTGCGACACATACTGGTTTTAAAAATAGAGGCTTGGCATCGGACTTGTGAAAAATAACATCCATTGTTTTTAAAGTTTGCCTGAATAATTAGTCACACTTTTAAAAAAAACAAAGTGTCATCTATAATACAAGAGTTAAGGATGAAACTAAAGTAGAAAGCAAGCCAACAAGGATAATAAATCATTTAAAGAGGAATCATTACGAAGTCACCTTTTAGTCTTGAGCCAACACTCTCCAGAGCCTCAGGCTGCCGTTGGCCTTCGAGTGCCAAAAGTTCACAATAATAAGTACGACGGAGAAGTTTTAAGAGTATTTTTTCACACATTTATTTAATTTGTTCTTTTAGTTTGAGTTCACAATGTGAAGAAATGGCAATCGAGCTGTTAAACCCCTTCAACTTATACATCGAAATTCAGAAAAACTACACCATCCTTTGAAATATATGAAGAAATAGTGCAGAAAGCAGTTGTATAAGGCATGTTTGAAAACTGCATTAACGCTGATATTATTGTGCCTTACCCTTGCTCACTGGAGAGGATTAAGCGCAGTAGATAAAGTGCAGGACGTATATTATTTTTGGATTAATTCAGCATAGCTTCAGGATTATATTTTGGGGCTAATGTATTGTTTGGAGGATTTAGGGTTCGACGCATAAGAGAAACCAAATATACTATATGTGCCGGTTATAAAGAGATAAGTGCAGTTGATGTATCTGGGACAATGGCAGATTAATGCATCAATAACAAATGAGTGGCGCTGTTTTTCTCAATGGGAATTACCCGATGAGATGAATGAGTGTTTGATGTTTGTGTTGTCGCAGCAGGGGATAATTGGACGTTTGGTTTCTGTAATTCCTCCCAGACTCTCACTGGTCTCTTGGTAATTGTTGCACTTTGAAATTGTTCTTTTATTTATAATCGTTGTGTCACTGTGCTTGTGTTTTGATACAGCCCAAATGCTCTGAATGATAGAATCTAAGCTGAGTACAGCTTGGTACCATTGTTGGCTTTTCATATTTTATTCAACGAGTCAAACTCTCTAATTATACGAACCAATTTAAAAACCTTTCTTTAGCGTAAATTACATGTTAGGTCACCGTGTGATTTTTCAACAAATCATTTTCTATTGGCCTTTCAGGGCGACTGTGGCTGCGAGGGAGTGCGGTCGTCTTTCAACCAGAAGGTTGTGGGTTCGATCCCAGCCCATGCAGTCAACATGTCGATGTATCCTTGGGCAAGATACTTAACCCTGAGTTGCTCCCGATGGCATGGCCAACGGTGTGTGAATGTGTATGCATGTTAGTGCATGTCCTAACATACACTGCTCTGTATGAATGGGTGTGAATGGGTGAACGACATGTAGTATGTAAAGCGCTTTGAGGGGTCTTAAAGACTGGATAAAGCGCTATATAAGTACAGTCCATTTACCATTTCAATTATAATATTGTTTGGTCATTTAATCTTTAAAATGTCTGGAAATTGCCAAAGAAACACCAAATACAATTTCACAGTGTCACAGTCCAAAACACAAGAAGATGACATTTTCACTGATTATAAAATAGAAAGAAGAAGCAAACACTAATTTGTAAGAAGCTGGAAACAAAGTTTTTCTAATTTTAAACCCTTTTAATTTACATTACATGTTAGACGCTTTTATCCAAAGCGACTTACATGCTCAATACTGTGGACAATCCCCACAGGAGCGATTTGGGGTGAAGTGTCTCAGGGACACAACGGCATGCTGACTGCAGTGGGGTTTGAACCTGTGACCAACACCAACGCTCTACCCACTGCGCCACACGCCTCCAATGAATGAAGCACAGATCATGGCTGAATCATCATGCATACATTTATCTGGTTTACAATTGAAAATAGCGACAAAGTGCTCGACGTTGGAGTGAAATCGAGAGAGAATTCTGGGTAGATTTTAGGGAGAAGGTGAGAGCTGGAGCTGAAGGATGGCAGGCGGTAATCTCACACTCATGTGGTGGGCAATAGGCGGGATTAAGAGCTGCTTCTGAGCGATGTCTTGATTATTTTCAGCACAGCATCAGGATTACATTTTCCAGGATGAAGTGGGATAAATAAACTGGTGAACGTGGCAAAAGAGTTTTCCTGGAGTACGGGATGCCGACATGTGTGCTGTTGCGAAATGTATATTTCCACATAACTTTTTAATGCTATTTTATTTCTTTTTCTGAAATATTTTGGACTGTTTATTTCTCGTGTCTTAATTTCTCTTATGTACATTGCCTTGTTTTTTATGCGGCTGCAATCTTACCTATCTTCTGTTTGGTTGTTTTCTCCCCAGACCTCCCAAGTTTCTCAGAACCTCACATTCCTCTAGTGGCTCGTGAGATCATGCAGCGAATGATCCGCCAGTTCGCTGCCGAATATACCTCAAAAACGACTCAGGACGACTCTCCTCCCCTGACCAACGGCACCATGAAGGACCAAAGCCTGTCGAGAGCGGCGCCTCTGATCGCGCCCGGCTCCTCTCCATCTTCTGCCTCCTCCTCTTCCTCCTCTCCTTCCCCCACCCCTGGACCTGGTTTCAGCCCAAACTCCGCCGCTGCTGCCGCCTCAGCACCGACATGCATCCAGAACAGCAACGGCACGGGGACCAGTAACGGGTCAGGAGGAGGGGGGACGGCTGCTGCCTCTGCACAGAACCCCGTCCTCAGCAAGCTTCTCATGGCCGACCAGGACGGCCCGCTCGACCTGTCCGTCAAAAAGAACGAGGATGAGGAACCGGAACCGAGCCAGCCGGGTGAGAGCAAACACACACACATATACCTGTTTGTGTGACTCGTGAGGACCACGTGTTGACTTGGATTGATTAGTTTGCAGCATATCCTTACCTATATGTAACTTCACCCATGTACCCATGCATTATTATTGTATCCAAACATTTTGCAGTAGTATCGTGGTACAAGTACACTTCATTATTCTTTGAAGTGTAAAATTATGAAAACATATATATAAGAATAGAACAGCTAACGAACAGGAAAAGAAAAAAAACACATGAAAAATAAACTAAAACATAATTGAATTATAGTCGTTAAACTAAAATGAAAAAAAAATGTAAGACTTAATTAAAGAAACCTCACCTTTGTAACATTTAGCAGCTTCAATTTGTTATTACGTTTGCAGAAATACAATTATTCTGTCCCAAGCTTTATCAGAAGAACAAACATCTGATCAGGTCCAAGTTGAGCACTGAAAACATTGTTATTTTGTTAAATGCACATTGACTGCAGTTAGCTACAATTAGACTGCTCACAGATTCCCTTTCTACACACAGAGACTATCATTGAACACATTCAGATCTCTGAACAGCCTCCTGTTTAGGATTCAGCCTCATCAGCAGAACACTGAGCTCTGTAATAAAGCTTGTGGCTGAAGTGTAATCAAACTAACCCCGCAGGGGGTCTGCCTGTCCGTCTCAGAACCGGCTGCAGAGCTGAAGCGACAGCTCGCTGTTTCAACCCTCAACTCAGTGACCGCTCACCCTCTTTAATACCAGCTTTTTAGAATCTGCTTACAGTAACGGCCCGTCCACACTACAGCTTCGACAGCTTCACAAACGGTTTCCAACGCGTCTGCCCATTCACTTTGAATGGGGTGACGTCACTTTTCGCCGAACTGCATTGTGGGAAGCAGAGCGGAGCTTTGCTGGCGTTTCAGGCTGCAAAAGTTGAGCAATGTTCAACTTTTGAAGCTTCTGAAGCTTTCGGTGGAAGCGTCAGCCAATCAAATCATATGCCAGTACAAGCTCTAGCCCAGGGGTGGCCAACCAGTCAGAGGTTAAGTGCCACATTTTTTCTATGTTACTGCAAAGAGCCACATCACACACACACACATACCGCTTGTTTCCGTTTTTTTGTTTTCTGGAGACAAGATTTCAACCACGTCACTGATGCATTTTTGTGGCATTGGGATATATATTTTTTAAATCCTCTGGAGCAGAGAGAGGAGCTGTGGATTATTGTTATTGATTAATGCATCAGTGTTTCTTAGGGTCAAAAACACTAAACTCACAACTTCAAATGAAAGCGTTTAGTTTATTTAATAAAAGAGCACATGTTCAATGTGAAAAGTGACAGTAGTTATAGATTATTTGCAATTTGGTGCTATATATATATTAAAAAAAAAAAATTATATATATTTTTTAAACACCTTGAATTTCAGGGGGGGGGCGGGGCTCCGTTGGCGGGGTGCAGCGCCCCTCCAACACAATGGTAGGGGAAACACTGGATAGTGTTTAATCAACGATAGGTTTCCCCCCCTCAAAGGTGATTGGTTCACTGCATCGCAGGTATTATTGTGATTGGCTCTTGGGCCACATCAAAATTAGACTCGCTGTCATCCTCTCATACTGACACCTGACACCACACATACACACATAGGGAGAGCCGGGACGAAAGTAACGGAGCGATTTTATCCGAGCCCAAACAACTTTGACCGGACAAATTACGTTAATACTTAACAGACCTACTAAATATCAGGTTTAACTGTCAGGAGTAGCTAGTGTTGTCACGATACCAACATTTTGGTTTCGATACCAAGTCAAGAATTGCGATTCCGATTATTTTTCGATACTTTTCTTAAAAAACAGTCTTAAATGTAATTATTGTGCTTTATTTCACACCAGAACCATAACCATAACACAAACTTTTAAACAATGAGAACAATAAATTAAATAAATGACAAGATTTCCTATTAAATACAATTAATACATTTCTTACAGACAGGCCTCGTGGTGTCCGTAGGCTTGCCCTCACTGTCAGAGATATCGCTCAAATACTTCCAAATTTCGCTTCTGGCGTCTTTTTTGTCAACAAGCCGAGGCGCAGCGGCAGTTGCACTCCCACTTGCAGCCATGCTTCTCGCTTTCTCACATGCTCTGGCAGCTAGCGCGTGCACGAGAGAGGGGAGGCACTTAGAGCGTGCTTGAGAGGGGAGGGACTTAGAGCGTGCTTGAGAGGGGAGGGACTTAGAGCGTGCTTGAGAGGGAGGGACTGCAGGCACGGCTGCAGTGCAGGGAGTGGAAGCAGAGCGCTGAACACACACGGCTCTTATTAAAACGGCGCTTTCTCACCGGAGTACTTTCCCCCGTCATTCTTAAAGTACCGATACTAATGAAACGGAGGAATCGTAACGTTTTTAACGACAGGGTATCGCGGTATACCTTTCAAGTATCGGTACACCGTGCAACACTAGTCAGGAGTCAGTGTCTCTCCCCCAAACTCACACATATACAATTCGATATGAACTGAAGAGCCGCATGAAACTAGGCAAAGAGCCGCATGCGGCTCGAGAGCCGCGGGTTGGCCACCCCTGCTCTAGCCAATCAAACCGCTGCTTGTGTGTCAGGGGCGGGAGATTCATGTGATTGGTTGTTGGTCGAGCTTCAGACACGCCCAGCTCCAAGCTTTTTTTGAAGCTGTAGTGTGGACGGGCCGTAAGCCTCTGGAGGTTTTCACCAAAAAGATTTAGGCATTTACAAACCACCTCATGCTCTGCCATTATCTCTCTCTCACACATACAGGGGAATTCCTTTCAGACAAACTGTGACTCTGATAATCCTCAAAGCTGGATCATATACACACGCAGTAGATGCACTTTTAGGAACAATGAAGTTTTTACGTTGACAATGAATCAAATGTAATGAAAACGCAGAGAGCTCGGACTAATGTTTAATGTTTGCTGGGCATGAGAAATGTAGCGGCAAGTCCAAATCTTTTTTCAAAGTGTTTTTTATTTCCAAAACCAAACTACCCGCCTTCCACCAGGTGCGCCCATACTGAGCTGCCTTTATGCGTGGCTTGGGTTGACTGTAAAAATAAAAAAGTTAAAGTAATAAAAAACAATGACTGAGATTATACATCTTTTTTATTACACAGAACCCAAATATTATGTAGCGAAAAACACAATTTTCTCCTTCAGAACAAGATTGATATTCACAGTTTTCCTGTCGCATTAGTTGGATAACTTCGGAGAGTTTATTTGCGATGAACTTCAGTCAATGAAGTCCTTTAGTTTGATTTTGTTGAACACATGTTTAACACAGAGCAGGACTGTTTCATAATACTTTGTGAGTACGAGTTGCCGTGTATGATCTGACTCGAGCTGAGGGTACCTGGCAGCATTCATCTTCACATTGAGGATGAACACATTTTTCTAATACTGTAACGCAGAGTTCTTATAATGTGTTGTGTGAAAACAAGCTTGTTAAAATTGATGGAGATGCAAATTGAAGGACCTCATTACTGTAATTTAGCGCCGTGGTTATCCCTGGGCATTTTGTGACTCAAGTGCATTTTGATTAAGATTAATTTTGGAGGTAAGATTCTGTGTATTAAATGAACATAACTATGGTCATATATTTGTGATTCCTCTGGGCTGTACAGTTCATTTGAATATATTCGTTGTCCGACTAAACAACAAAAAGCTAGTGAGATTAGTGCAGCAGTCACGAGTCCTGCCTATAGGCTCACGGGGGGGTCAAAAGGTCAACTGCACTTTAGGGATTACAACAGAAAAACACACAGATTGATGACTGAGATGAATTATCAGTATACGTTAGAATTGCTCTGGGAAGACTGTGTGTGTTTCCCAAATCAGAAAAAAAAAAGCATTAACTTTTGGATTTTTTGAGGCAGACCATCAGATAAGAACGAAACGATTTAAAACAGCGCTCTAGTAAATAATACGTCTGGAAAAACATTGAAAAAGTCTTAAAAAATCTAGAGTCTATTATCAAAAACTCACCATTTTCTTATCTTACCATAGTTTTTACATTTTCAGAGCTTTGCTAATATTCCCTCGACTTCACGTCCTCTCACACATCATGATTAATATGTTCTACGTGTGTGTGACCTGCTTTGCTGACGAACATATTCACGGAGAAACTGAGATTTCACACGCAGCATGTGGCCATATTTCCCAGGCTTCCTTGCTTAAGTGAGAGACCACCTGTTCAGAAGCACAACATAGTATCTCATGCTTTTTTCATTCAGTGGTTTCCATATGCAGACACAGAAGCAAGCAGTTGCAGAAGCTGTTCAAATGAATTAGAGATGTTAATAGATTGTATTGAAAAGAAGTGCAATGGGATCGACTGCATTCTGCCTCATGTATAACTCACACATATACGTATCTAAAATATCTCTTTCTTCCTCTGGTTTGTTCCTTCATCTTGAGTTAGAAGATATTTTAAATGATAAAAAAAGAAACTAAGATAGAATGAATTAACATACAGCATAGCTGCCAATATGGTGAACCGCTCAGGTTAGTCGAAGATTGATTGGTACATATTATTCTTATTGTTAAATAACAAGGTATTTCTTCTGTCTTATGAATGTGATTGAAGTGGCATGCATTCAAATACATACATCTATTCAAATGAAGTCCAGCCCGACCAGCTCTGACATATTAATGCATCAATAATCATAATCCAGTAATTGAATATATGTTTGAAGCTGAAATGAGCTGTATGTCCTTTTGGTACTTATGTATAGTTAGATGTTCATTATTGTTGCCCTTAAAGTTGGATTTTAAATACTGGACTTGAACTTGTTAGAGTATTTTTACCCCTTTGCTTAAGTATAAGATCAGATACAGAATCATAAATCCTTTATTAGTCCCAAAGCGGGGACATTTACAGAGTTACAGCAATAGTTGAATAGCAGGTCAATAAAAAAAGAGACATCAAATAATAAGTACTTTTCCAGCCCTGGAGAGATCTAATTACGTGTGCAGTGTGTTCTTTTAAAATGACTGCTTTGATTCGTGCTCAGTTGTGTTAAATCTTTTATTTCCTGTTTCTCTTCAGACGGCGTCCTGGACCTCTCCACCAAAAAGAGCCTCAGCGCAGGCAACCTCAAAACCTTCCCCGGCTTCTCCCCTGAGCCCAGGGTCAAAGGGTAAGATAACAGGATTAGTCAAACCTCTGCGCCACGGCCATTTCCCTAAAACAACAGCGGCGAGGTTAAAGCAGTAAGGCCTGTTGTGTTTCTGAGCCACAGAGCACTCAGTCTTAACACTAAACACTGTGTGAAGTTCAGCCCGAGGGAAGAACATGATACTGTTATAATTATCATGATTCAAATCTAATTCAGATAACCAACCGCAGTCAAGCTCCTCCTTTGACAAAGATTGACTTGGATGAAAACCATCACAGGCAGATTTTATCAGCAGTTATTGTTTTACTCAGATCAGACGAGCTGTCCTGTGTGTTGATTTAGATATCATTCAGACAGTTCTCTACTTGGGTTCCCAGCGGCTCAATCATTTTAGTCATATTTGACCGCCATTCATCTGCTTTTGGTACTGTAAGCAATGCTCACAGTGCTACTTTTTGTAATTTAAAAAGACAAAAAAAGATTTCGGTGCTCAATATTCAAAGGAAACAATCAAGATTACATTGACGTTTTTAAATTATGTATATTTTTTGTTTTAAGTATATTAAGTTCACAGTACTTAAAGGCAACCTTTTATGCTAGATTTGTTTTTTTTATCAGTATGTAGTATCTCTACTTTAAAGAGTCCTCTCCTGCTGATGTTCAGGTGTATATCAGTATGTAGTGTCTCTACTTTAAAGAGTCCTCTCCTGCTGATGTTCAGGTGTATATCAGTATGTAGTGTCTCTACTTTAAAGAGTCCTCTCCCTGCTGATGTTCAGGTGTATATCAGTATGTAGTGTCTCTACTTTAAAGAGTCCTCTCCTGCTGATGTTCAGGTGTATATCAGTATATAGTGTCTCTACTTTAAAGAGTCCTCTCCTGCTGATGTTCAGGTGTATATCAGTATGTAGTGTCTCTGCTTTAAAGAGTCCTCTCCTGCTGATGTTCAGGTGTATATCAGTATGTAGTGTCTCTACTTTAAAGAGTCCTCTCCTGCTGATGTTCAGGTGTATATCAGTATGTAGTGTCTCTACTTTAAAGAGTCCTCTCCTGCTGATGTTCAGGTGTATATCAGTATGTCGTGTCTCTACTTTAAAGAGTCCTCTCCTGCTGATGTTCAGGTGTATATCAATATGTAGTGTCTCTACTTTAAAGAGTCCTCTCCTGCTGATGTTCAGGTGTATATCAGTAATGTCTCTACTTTAAAGAGTCCTCTCCTGCTGATGTTCAGGTGTATATCAGTATGTAGTGTCTCTACTTTAAAGAGTCCTCTCCTGCTGATGTTCAGGTGTATATCAGTATGTAGTGTCTCTCTACTTTAAAGAGTCCTCTCCTGCTGATGTTCAGGTGTATATCAGTATGTAGTGTCTCTACTTTAAAGAGTCCTCTCCTGCTGATGTTCAGGTGTATATCAATATGTAGTGTCTCTACTTTAAAGAGTCCTCTCCTGCTGATGTTCAGGTGTATATCAGTAATGTCTCTACTTTAAAGAGTCCTCTCCTGCTGATGTTCAGGTGTATATCAGTATGTAGTGTCTCTACTTTAAAGAGTCCTCTCCTGCTGATGTTCAGGTGTATATCAGTATGTAGTGTCTCTACTTTAAAGAGTCCTCTCCTGCTGATGTTCAGGTGTATATCAGTATGTAGTGTCTCTACTTTAAAGAGTCCTCTCCTGCTGGTGCTCAGGTGTATATCAGTATGTAGTGTCTCTACTTTAAAGAGTCCTCTCCTGCTGATGTTCAGGTGTATATCAGTATGTAGTGTCTCTACTTTAAAGAGTCCTCTCCTGCTGATGTTCAGGTGTATATCAGTATGTAGTGTCTCTACTTTAAAGAGTCCTCTCCTGCTGATGTTCAGGTGTATATCAGTATGTAGTGTCTCTACTTTAAAGAGTCCTCTCCTGCTGATGTTCAGGTGTATATCAGTATGTTGTGTCTCTACTTTAAAGAGTCCTCTCCTGCTGATGTTCAGGTGTATATCAGTATGTAGTGTCTCTACTTTAAAGAGTCCTCTCCTGCTGATGTTCAGGTGTATATCAGTATATAGTGTCTCTACTTTAAAGAGTCCTCTCCTGCTGATGTTCAGGTTGTATATCAGTATGTAGTGTCTCTGCTTTAAAGAGTCCTCTCCTGCTGATGTCAGGTGTATATCAGTATGTAGTGTCTCTACTTTAAAGAGTCCTCTCCTGCTGATGTTCAGGTGTATATCAGTATGTAGTGTCTCTACTTTAAAGAGTCCTCTCCTGCTGATGTTCAGGTGTATATCAGTATGTCGTGTCTCTACTTTAAAGAGTCCCTCTCCTGCTGATGTTCAGGGTGTATATCAGTATGTAGTGTCTCTACTTTAAAGAGTCCTCTCCTGCTGATGTTCAGGTGTATATCAATATGTAGTGTCTCTACTTTAAAGAGTCCTCTCCTGCTGATGTTCAGGTGTATATCAGTAATGTCTCTACTTTAAAGAGTCCTCTCCTGCTGATGTTCAGGTGTATATCAGTATGTAGTGTCTCTACTTTAAAGAGTCCTCTCCTGCTGATGTTCAGGTGTATATCAGTATGTAGTGTCTCTACTTTAAAGAGTCCTCTCCTGCTGATGTTCAGGTGTATATCAGTATGTAGTGTCTCTACTTTAAAGAGTCCTCTCCTGCTGATGTTCAGGTGTATATCAGTATGTAGTGTCTCTACTTTAAAGAGTCCTCTCCTGCTGGTGCTCAGGTGTATATCAGTATGTAGTGTCTCTACTTTAAAGAGTCCTCTCCTGCTGATGTTCAGGTGTATATCAGTATGTAGTGTCTCTACTTTAAAGAGTCCTCTCCTGCTGATGTTCAGGTGTATATCAGTATGTAGTGTCTCTACTTTAAAGAGTCCTCTCCTGCTGATGTTCAGGTGTATATCAGCATGTAGTGTCTCTACTTTAAAGAGTCCTCTCCTGCTGATGTTCAGGTGTATATCAGTATGTAGTGTCTCTACTTTAAAGAGTCCTCTCCTGCTGATGTTCAGGTGTATATCAGTATGTAGTGTCTCTACTTTAAAGAGTCCTCTCCTGCTGATGTTCAGGTGTATATCAGTATGTAGTGTCTCTACTTTAAAGAGTCCTCTCCTGCTGATGTTCAGGTGTATATCAGTATGTAGTGTCTCTACTTTAAAGAGTCCTCTCCTGCTGATGTTCAGGTGTATATCAATATGTAGTGTCTCTACTTTAAAGAGTCCTCTCCTGCTGATGTTCAGGTGTATATCAGTATGTAGTGCCTCTACTTTAAAGAGTCCTCTTCTGCTGATGATAGTCACTGTGACCTTTTGACCTGTGCTGGACTATGGTGATCTGATCTATATGAATGCACCTGCCTATTGCCTGAACAAGTTAGATGCCTATCACAGCGCACTGAGATGTGTCACAAATTGTAAAGCACTTACTCATCACTGTACCCTGTATGCCAAGGCAGGTCTGCCATCCCTTACTGTAAAGAGGCTCAGTCATTGGTGCACGTTTATTTATAAAGCTTTGTTGGGTAAACTCCCGTATTATCTCTGCTCTCTGATAACATAGAGAGTTGCAAGCAGCTATTGTCTGAGATCGCATGATGTAGTATTGTTAGATGTGCCAAGAGCAAGGACTGTCTCAGGTAAGACAGCTTTTATGTGCGCAGCTCCACTTGCTTGGAACAATCTTCAGCAAGAATTGAAACTGAGCAATCTCATTCCTCTGCATGTTTTCAAAGCTAGGCTAAATGAAATGCTCGTTGATACTATGGGCACTTGTAAATGTCTATAACTATGTAAATGTATCCTGTAAATATAATGTATGATGTCCTTTATTGTTTTATGTTTCATGTGGAACCTATATGCTGCAGGTCTCCCTTGAAAAAGAGATCTATGATCTCAATGGGACCAATCTGGTTAAATAAAGGTTTGAAATGAAAAATGAAAAAAAATGTTCAGGTGTATATCAGTGTGTAGTGTCTCTACTTTAAAGAGTCCTCTCCTGCTGATGTTCAGGTGTATATCAGTATGTAGTGTCTCTACTTTAAAGAGTCCTCTCCTGCTGATGTTCAGGTGTATATCAGTATGTAGTGTCTCTACTTTAAAGAGTCCTCTCCTGCTGATGTTCAGGTGTATATCAGTGTGTAGTGTCTCTACTTTAAAGAGTGCTCTCCTGCTGATGTTCAGGTGTATATCAGTGTGTAGTGTCTCTACTTTAAAGAGTCCTCTCCTGCTGATGTTCAGGTGTATATCAGTATGTAGTGTCTCTACTTTAAAGAGTCCTCTCCTGCTGATGTTCAGGTGTATATCAGTATGTAGTGTCTCTACTTTAAAGAGTCCTCTCCTGCTGATGGTCAGGTGTATATCAGTATGTAGTGTCTCTACTTTAAAGAGTCCTCTCCTGCTGATGTTCAGGTGTATATCAGTATGTAGTGTCTCTACTTTAAAGAGTCCTCTCCTGCTGATGTTCAGGTGTATATCAGTATGTAGTGTCTCTACTTTAAAGAGTCCTCTCCTGCTGATGTTCAGGTGTATATCAGTGTGTAGTGTCTCTACTTTAAAGAGTCCTCTCCTGCTGATGTTCAGGTGTATATCAGTATGTAGTGTCTACTTTAAAGAGTCCTTAGGGGGGCTTTGAGAAACACAAAAGCGTGTTTGCTCCATGGGTCTCAAGGTTTGGAAGATTATACAAATATATTCTCAAACGTCAAGGTTTTTTTGGCTTAATCCGTCACTTTTATTGGAATGAATTGGGCCCCGCCTCCAACGTTGTATCCAGTTCTCTTATACATCTATAGCCCACGCCCCCAAGCCCAAAACAAGAGTTCCGTATGTGTTCAACACATCACGAACACACTGGTCTTCTCCTTTCTCCTCCGTGTCAGTGGATCTATTGACAATCCTTAGTACAATCATGTATTGATGGATGAGTACTCTGCCTTGAAGTCATGTTTGAATCGGTAGCCATCATACTCGCATCAAGCATCCAGAGGGAATAAACAATCAACGCTAATCGCGGCTGCCATTTCGAGGAATGCATTGATCTGTAGGTCAAAGATGGATTAGTAGAGGTTCAATACACAGTCCTGCCCCGAGTGCAGGATTTCTTTCTAGCTGTGGTCGTGGAGGAGGATGTGGGCATAGAAATCTGCCTTCCCCCCCCCCCCCCCCCTTTGTGGGCTCTCTGGTCCAACAGTAAACACACCTTCACTTGCTTTCTAAAGTGAGATATGAGAGGTGTTGCATTAAAATGATAGTTTACGCAAGTCCCAATTGGCCGTCACAAGAGTGGTTCTTTCCGGTAAAAACTAGTGTTGCCTAGATACAGAGCTACCAAACAAGGCCAGTGTTTCTCCCTCTAGTTCTTGATTGAAATAAAGTTATCAATAGAGAAAACGCAGCTACAGATGTTCAAGTATGGACCTGGCCTTTAACCAGGAGTTGTATCTGATGTTTCAAGACTGTGACACTTCAGGTCTTTTGTCTATTGTTTTGGACTGACCTTCTGTATTTCGGGTACTTGAAAGTGCTCAAATGTCTTGTCCAATGAGGGTTTATTAGCAACAATTAACAGTTTGTAAAAAGGCAGTTTGGCCTTGTTCAATGTGATTTGATGGCTAAAAAGATTCAGAGTTCAATCGATCAGGAATGAAGTTCTAATATACCTGCAGTAAGGATCATTATAAAAGTGACAGGTTCTGCACGAGTGAAAGAAAGAAGATGGTAAAAATGCTGATTTTTCACTATCAATAATTAATTGTCCTCGGGAATTGGCAATATCCCAGGAAAAAATTCATTCTCCATTTAATGTAGTAGTTTAAAGGCATACATTCCTCTAAATCATAAAAAAGCATCAACAAAAACGTTTTGTTAATTCACATCCTTGTCAAACTACTTTCCACAGACAAAGGACCCAGCAGGTAAACCTTGGCATCGGGAGGTATTTCCACGATAGGCAAACAAGGAACTGCCCCTTAGGCCCCTCAGGACTCAGTCTACTCCCTCAGGGTGCCCCCCTAAAGGACCCGAGCCTCACCAGGAGTCTCTAATGATGAGGTCATGTAATATTAACTACAGGAGGAGGTGGAGCCTGTACAGAGTTTCCACCCCCACTGACATCAATTCATCTTTGACAGAAAGACAAAATCCCTTAAGACACCAGGTTGCAGTGTGTATAACGGCCCGTCCCCACAGCAGCGTTAAAAAATCTTCCAACGCTTCTGCCCATTCACTTTGAATGGGGTGACGTCACTTTGCCTCGCTTTTCGCCGAACTGCATTGTGGGGAAGCAAAGCGAAGATTTCCAGGATTTCCAGGATTTCCAGGATTCAAAAGTTGAGCAATGTTCAACTTTTAAAGCTGAGGTGGAAGCGTCAGCCAATCAAATCCTATTTATGCAAATCTGACAGTACAAGCGCTAGCCAATCAAACCGCGTGCAAGCTGGGAGAGCCAGACCGCAGTTCATTTTCTATATTCCTGAAAATGGAGGAGAACTTAGTTATTACGGTAGCAAATCACCCGGTTCTTTATGACCAGTCGCTAATAACTTACCGGGATACAAACCGGAGGAACCAGGCATGGAGGGAGGTGGCAGAGACAGTGGGTGAAACGGTTTTCGCCTGTTTGGGGATTTTATATCCAGTTTACTTCGTTTTAACATTGCTATTGCTTTGTATGTCGGGGGCGGGATATTCATGTGATTGGTTGTTGGTCGTGTTGCTCGCAAAAAATCCCCAAGCTTCAGACACGCCCACCTCCAAGATTTTTTTAACGCGGCTGTGTACGTACCGTTATAGGTTACTGGTTAATAATTTTCTGGCCATGTTTGCAGACAGACTTCAGACAAAAACTGCATTTTTTTGTTTGTACATTCTTTATTTATTTATATTTTTATTTAGAAGCATAACTGATTTCTGTATAATCACATTTTAACTAGATTTTTTTAAGAATTACCGAAAAAGTTCAATCAGATCTGGTTTAAGATGTCCCATGATGGACTAAATGCTGTTCCATCTACTCCTGGTGTAACGATTATATGTTTTTGAAATATACAATTAAAAAAATATTCAATCTTGGCTGCAGGATATAATTACCAACACAATGTTTAGCCTCAATGCACACACTGTTGTTTAGGGAGCACCAATCATACCCCCAGATTCTGAAACAATCTCTCTATCAGTGTCATTCAAGATTCAAGGCTTTTATTGTCATGTGTACATAGCTGCAGTGCTATTAGGTCCCCGGCAGTGCAACACAATAAAACATAAAATAGTGCAAGTAAATACAATAAAATAGAATAGAAGTAGTGCCATAAGAGTCTATATACAAGTGATACATCATTTGTAAGTTGCGTGTTATTTTATTCTTTTATTTTCGCAAATGCGTGTTCCCATTGATTCTCAGTAGCTGTCTGGCGCTGATGACTGCATGCTCACTGTAACAGAACGCTCTATTAGAGAGTACAGACTCCAAAGCCTCTCGTTAACCCTGTATTGTCTCCATCGAGCCCGAGACCGCCCACTGTGGTAATCTGTCTTAAAGCTCCCGCTGAGGACTCCCCACATGGCACAGTTGGTAACTCTGCAGCTCACCAGACTATGTCTCCACTGGAAAGATACCGTTTTTCCCTCAAGTTTCTTCTCCCCCCAGCCAGCCGCTGACTTGACAAGCCATTTCCCGCTATGACAACCCTAAGGGAGCATTTTTTTAAGAGCCTTGCCACTGTTGCTATAGTTACTCAGCAGTAGGAGCATTAGCCGCAGCAGTTTTGAGTCGATGCACTTTTAATGTAAGCGTATGTTTCAACAGCAGACATGGTTTTTCAGAAATAAATAAAAAACGCTCGCATATGACTGCTTGTTTAGCAAGATTGCATACTTTGTTTGTTTGTCAAACAAGGGGCAATTCAAGAAACTCAATTTGAAAGCTAATTATTATCCAAAACAACACAATTAATGTAGAGTGTGACTCTTTGAAGATAAACAATGCGTGAAACCATATTGCCAATACAAATGTTTGAGAATTGTAATGAGAAGTATGATAATATCTACTTTCCAGGACCTTTTAATTGTGTTTAATGTTTTTACAACACAAACTAATCCTAAAAGTCTAAATTTGACTCATGTGTTCAACTCAAAATAGATGCAGTTCAAATCCTCAATTTTCAATTTCGAAAAACCAGTATTTGTTGAGAATGAATGTTTTAAAGATAAAAACATAATGACTAACATTCTCGCCCTACCTCAATTTGAAATAAATTATACTCACTAGAAATTAACTGATGTTTAATAATGATAAGTCTAATATGTGGTAAAAAGGTAATAACTGGACTGGACTTTGATTCAACACATTACAGATTTTCATCTTCATAAAGAAATTGAATATGCATCAAACCAGGATCTCAGAAATTAGTTTATAACCAGACATCCGACACTATCCCTAAATTGTTCTGTTTTTCTCCATCCAGACGTTCCATTAAAGCGGAACACACCCTGCCAGAGGTGGATGAGGACGGTTTGCTGCAGAGAAGCTTGCAGGACGGACTGAGGGAGAACTACGCCAACTCCACCTCCTTCAAACCGCCATTGGCCCGCTCGCTGCGTATCAAGGAAGAGCTCCTCAGCCAGAAGCACCGCCTCCTGAGCCAGCCTGCTGCCCTCTCATTGGCTAATCTAGAGTCAGCAGGCTTGCTCAATCATGCGCAGTCCCTCGCCTTGCTTGGCCAGAAGGGCTCTTCCTCTTTCTGGGGAAGCAAGGCCCACCTCGAAAGCCTGATGAAGCTAAAGCAGGCCAGTGGAGCTTTGAACGGGGCCCTCAGCGACCTCAAAGACCTGCCTACATTCCTGGAGAATCACCAAAACCACCACGGAGCCTTCTCCTACAAAAGTTCCCACCACCACAATCATGTCTCCAAAGCCCAACACCACCACAACGAGGGGAAGAGGGACCAGGGCCACTCGCCTCCTGTCGACCTAAAGATCCCACAAGTTCGGGGCATGGATCTCTCCTGGGATCCCCCATGGCAATGAGCTGTACGGATATGGCGCCATGGGGATTGGGGGAGGATGTCATGGTGAAAACAGCCTAAACCGGAAGCTGAGAGCCATCCTACCCAAGCAGAACCGCCGGGGAGGAAGTCTTGGAAGCCTCCTGGATGGCGCTGCCGACTACTGGAGCTCCGACTTGGACCACTCCAGTTCTGGGCCAGCGTACTCCACCTCTGACGCAGAAGGGGACCCCAACTCCAAGCAGCCAAGGAAGAAGAGGGGCCGTTATCGCCAGTACAACACAGACATCCTGGAGGAGGCCATAACCCAAGTGATGACCGGGAAGATGAGTGTGTCCAAGGCTCAGAACATGTACGGGATCCCGCACAGCACCCTGGAGTACAAGGTGAAGGAGCGCCTGGGAACCTTGAAGAACCCCCCAAAGAAGAAGCTCAAGCTGATGATGAAGATGGAAGCAGGAGGCCGGGATTTTCCTCTTGGAGAGTCGGAGAACAGGCTCAACGCAACGCCGCGAGACGACGGGCCGCCACTGGCTGCTGCTGAGCTCCAGGACAATGTAAAAGAAGAGATTGAAGACAATTTCAAACCAATCGACTAAACGACATACACATGTAAACCTCAGTCAAATGACAAAAGTAATTTGAAAATGGATGGGGCTTTATTTGTGCCAACTTACTTTGCAGTATCTGGGTGAGCACAAACGCAGGGACAATATGAGGATTCTTAAAAACAAACTTGAGATAAACAACTAATCGGATGGTTTTTAACAAGCGTGGTTTAAGCAATGCTGTATTAGCATTTGTTTAGCTTTTATATCCAGGGGCTTAACAAATGCAGCTAAAGACATACATCAAATGACAATTAATGAAATTTCCATAAGCATGCTGATAATCCCCTGCCCAAAAACCCTTTCCCCTTTTTCTGAACTTGATAGACTGAACCAATGCTGCTTAAAAGTGCAGTTTGGGCTTTGGAACATTCCAATTGGGGAAAATAATGAGGTTGAAAATGAACTCCATGGACACATAAGTCCCTTTATTGCTCCCCTCTCTTATGGAGTACTATCTGAAATTGGTAAGTGAACAGTCTATTACATTTGAAACCAACTGTAAAGTTTAATCATACCATTGATATTCCTCGCCAGGGTTGTGAATCAAAACCCATCCTCTTATTGCCAGGTAGCCATGACGCTTTAACTGCAAATCTTTTCTTTCCTCCATAAGATATTCTGCTAATCTCCGTGCGGACGAAAGCAACATTAACCCGTCCTTTTTGAATGAGAAAAGACACAAAAGTCATTCAGGGATGCATGTTTGTGAGTTTCGTGGACACTACTGACTTCTATAATCAACTTTTTTCCTTTATCTATATCTTTTCATTTGTTTTGCTTTCTTTTGCACTACACTTTTGGTCTGGCGCTTACAGACCAGGTTACCTCGGCATTGTTGCCCTCGCATCATGCACTTATTTTGGTCTGTCTCCGAAGCCCAGTCGCAACCTCATAATGGGTCAGTGGTGCACATCGCCTGCGTACGCTGATCCATAATCAGATCCCAGGGAGCTCGAAAACCCTCTTTTTTTTGCCAAGAGACAAGTTGAGGGGTAAACTGATTATGGATCAGCCTTTTTAAGGCGGATTGCTACCTCATGAACCTCCATCAGTGTCTCACTGCTGATCCTGGAACGCTGGAGCCGCCTTCAGGTTGCCCTCCAAACGGTGACCGAAGGGAGCTCATCCCTTGCATGGAGACCTTTATTGGATGAAGGCCTTTTAGGATCAGAATGTGAAACCCTGCTGCTATCAACTTGATTATCTAGCTCCTATACAAGGCTTTAGCCAGTCTAAGCTACTGAGTTTTAGCTAGTCTTAGCCAACAACAATACATTGCTGATGTTTTTTCCTTTTCTAATGAAACTGCTTAGCTGATGAGTTTCAAACGTTTATTTCCCTCAAACCTCAGACAGTTTTAACGGCAGTTAACTACAAAAATGTGCATTTATTGAGGGGTGTTTAGGGATGATGGGTGGGCAATATGCAGTGGGGAGGGGTAGTTAATAGAAGCCAGGGAAAGGAAGATTTAATATATTATAAATTATTATGACTGATGATGTTAAAGCCAATCCGTGATTCTGGATGATTTCTTTTCTCCTCATTGTAACTCAGGGTAACTGAGACAGATAATGTGGGTTTCAAATATGGTCATTTCCTGTTGGACCTATAGTAGACAAACAGGAGGACAAGACACGCCCCTCACTAATGCTTTGTCTTGTGGGAGGGGCCATGTGATTAAATATGGCAGAGCCATAGCAGATAGACCTGCAAATTAATCATGACAAAGAACAGAAAACTGATGTTGGGTTTTGGGGAGCGAAATTTCTAGCGGTAAACTTCTAAAATAGCACTTTTCAAAAGTAAGCGAACTCAAGAGAGAAAGAAAGCTGTTTGAGGTTATGCACGTAGTGTAGCTCTTCTCTGGGGGATATAGGGCCGGGAGCGATCAGAGGGCAGAGAGATGGAAGAAAAAAGCTTTAGTGTGAAGACTTTCAGAAAGCTGCAGCTTGGACCCAAACTTCTCTTTTGTTTTCCTCTCGATTACCTCCATGATTATAAAAAAAAAAAAAAAAAAAAAAAAAAAAGATAAAAAAATGGTCGACAGCTTGAAGAAGTTGAGTTTTGCGTAGTGTCGTCTTGTTGTTTTCCCTCCTCGCCGCTGAAGCACCAGGGAAAGAAAAACCATCATGACGTTTTCCAGGTGTGGATTATCCCTCAGAGGACACAGGTGGAGAGAAAAAGGCTCCTTTGGTATTTTCCATCAGGAACAGATTGAGGGAGATGACAAAAGCTTTCTGGCCGTCATGTTGTTGTGCTCTGTGGTAAATGTTGCTCTTCGCTCCTAAACACTGCCTGGTGCTCGCCCAGTCTGTGAGATGTTTAACATGAGAACTGTACCTCTGTTCAGATGAAATGATGATGATTCACTCCTTTTCAAATGTATTGTATATTTTATTTATTTTATTTCCTTTTTTTCTTTGATTATTTTCAAAAAAATGGCATGCACCACTCTTTTGGGGCTGATTTTGGGTTAGGGTCAATTTGATATATGAGAGGATTTCAACACCATTAATCTTAACCTTTTTCTAAGTTATGAATTAATCACAATCTAATTAGAATTAGAAAATGTACTACCTGTTTCATACAATCTTAATATACCCTCTGTGGTTATTGGTTACCCACAAGTTGAATTTAAATATTTGTAGTTCCCTTGGCTTGATTGGCAGGTATTTATGGCCAATGGGAAAAGCTTTAGAAAAGACCCCTGAAACAACATTTCCAGGGGATGTTATGCATGAAATGCATCCAACACTTTGACAATGCTGAGCATTTGAAGTGTCTAAAAGGTTGTGAGTGTTGAGTTAGACCCAGCGAACGACAATGCACTGATCTCATAGTTAAACCAGGATTGAATCCCCAGTAACGAAAGTAAAGCACTTGTTTTGAACACACCTCTGAAAAAAGGCACAGCAGCTGAAAACAGTCTGACAACGTACAGTATGTCCCGCCCTCTAAACAACACCCAGAACAAATGCCTCATGTAATGGATTTGTGCTTATAAAACATTATATGTGTGTGTAGAAATAGTGTTGACACTTAATGCACAGGTTTGCATGAATAAACTCCAACCGCACTTAAACCGAATTCCTCTGAGAGGGGCGAGTGCTCGAAAGCCAAACTATCTCTGTGTATAATTTACATACATTTTATATTTAAAAAGAAATCTCTCTCTCCCCTTGAAGACATTTTTGACCCTAAATGTACATTCGGCACTTGCTATACATTTGCTAATACTTTTTGAAAATGCAGGTAATTTAAAAAGTCCAATTTCAGCCTGCTCTGATCTACTGAGGTGCATGCCATTTAAGGTGCATTTATTTAAATTCATTTTGTTTCTAAATATTGTTTATAGTCATGTGGTTAACGGCTCCCCCTGTCCGAAAAAGTCCTCCTTCTTGCAACTGAGTCTCACTGCTGTTTTCAAAGAAACCTCGTACTATATTATATACTTAAGAGAACCGTATATATCTTTATATATACATATATATTAACAAATACACACAAAATGAATGTAGTGAACAGAAATGAATATCTCAAACTTAAAAAAACAGAACTGTCATCTGCATAAAAGATGGCACCGTCAGTTTTACTTTCAACTGACTTGTTTTTATTATTTAGCTTTTAGTTTCACTTCACGCTGCTTGCATTGAAAACGCAGTCGTTTTCAGACGCGGGCGTGAGACAGTAGCCTTCAGTACTGTAAATGTCTCAGGATCGAGCCGATGGGATGGGCAGCAATATTCGTCAGTCGGAAAATGGCGCAGACTTAACTACCTGTACTCAATGTAATTTATAGACATGTATACATAAACTACATGTCGACTTGGTCAGCAGAGTCCAAGTGCTATACCTCAATCTCAAAATAATGACTCCTTTCTGTGCCTCGTACTTTTATGTATACCTTACCTGGGAGCCTGGCGAAGGGATAGCTGATACTCTGGGAAATGTAGTATCCTCAGCTGTTTCTTTTCTTATCTGTTCGTTTTTCTTTTCTTTGTCTCGCCTCCCTCTTGCTACGGGAGGAGGGAGACGCTTCAAGTGTCTGACTGACCAATATTTGCCACCCTACCTCTTTTCAGGTATTTCTTCGCAACAACAAAACCTTCTAGAAAGTATATAATGAGTACATTAATACCCTACAGGGACTAAACAGCTATTCATGTTTGAATCACTGGATGGGGTTGGTATGGGAGGGCTGAAAACCTCCCAAAAGTCAAAACATTTTGGGATTCAGTCGTCTGGTTTCACCCTGGAGGCGATAAGTCAGGCCGGTCCCACCCTGGTCTGAGAAAGAACATGGTGTTTTTGTTCACTGAGGCTCTTTTTCTTTTCTTGTATGGTTTAGTGTGTGTGATGTTGGTGTAACACACCTCCAGGTTGAAACTTGACAGGGGGATCTTTTCTTTTAATTTTTTTAATTCTCACACCCAGAGAAATCAGAGACCTGGAGGGGAGATTGGGGGACAGGTGGACTAGTTAACCTTCTTTTATCTGCTGTCTTGTAAAAGAAAAATATATCCAAAATCTTTTACATTGCATTCCAAAAAAACACCACACAAGAAAATGTACCTTTATATGTTGAAAAAAGCTATACTTATGAATGCATAGGTATTTATTTGACTGTTTTTGCATCTTCAGGTAAACCAATCGATTCCTCTTTTGCTTATAGGTTGGTTTTTTTATTTGGTTTTTTATTTTTCTTCTGAGTGAAAGACTGTCAAAAGTGATATAAGAAGAAAAAATGTCAAACAGCAACTACTGTAACCTCACTTAGTAGACGCCACATGACGTGCCATTTTGTTTCAGGATGGCGTGTGATGTGGTGCTACCGGGAAAAAAGACCTATAATGTATATCATTGCCATGTTCCTCTCTGCAGAGAGGCTTCTCTGTTTCTTTTTCTGTCACGCTGCATATCTGGTTGTCATTTAAACCTCAGGTCCAACCACTTCAAAGCAGCTGATTGTACATTAAAAACACACACAAATACACACACAAAGAAGAATCAGGATTTTTAGTACGGCTCGTTTCCAGATTTTTTGATGTAACTGACGGAAGCAGATTTTGAATAATTGTTGTTTCTTGTCGTTGTTCGTACCGTTGTTATTCTGATGGCATCTTATTTACATTTTCTTAGATAAAAACAAAAAGACAACTTCTTTAAAAGCCAGAAGCCAGGTTTCTTTAATACAACGCTGTACTCTCTCTAGCACATACAGCCATGGAAGGTCAGAACGCACACATAGAGACATGACGCACCTACAGCAACACACACTCTCCCTCATCATCAGGTAGCCGCACTTTGTGTGGGCGGGTTATATGTATAATTATGAAGCTGGGAGTCTGCCGCTTCTCTTTTAGAAGCAGGTGGGTGTGTTTTGTCCACAACCTGCAGAACATCGGCCCCGCTGGCTGATTTTGATCTGGCAAACTGGGACATTGTCGGCACTGCCTCTGTGAAAAAGTCTTTGTTGTTTTGCTCTCAAGAAAGATTGCTTTTCTTCACCTCATCCTACCTTCCATTCTTCCCGTCAGTTGTTCTGCTATATGTGACCAGTGTCTGATGATGTGAGCATTGCTGCGGTTATCTCCTTTTGCCTCATCTATTTCTTGTACTGCTGTGAGTGACATACAGGCAGGTGTAGATTTGTCAGGCTGCTAAAATCATAACATTTGACTTAAATGATACACTAACTACCATCTGAAAACCATGCAAGGCAAGGCAAGGCAATTTTATTTATATAGCACTTTTCAGCACGTGGCGATTCAAAGTGCTTTACAGATTAAAAGCAAAAGACATTTAAGAACAAATACATGATTAAAAAGGCATTTAAAAACAGGCATAAGCAAAGGTAATGAAATAATAAACACAGCAGGCACAGAATACATGACTGAAAAGGCATGCTGTAGTGTGAGTATGGGCAGCTCAATTGAACGCAGCGGCAAATAGGTGCGTTTTTAGTCTGAATTTAAAAATAGGAATTGTTTCAGGCGGACGATTTGGGCGGTTTGTTCCAAATTGTTGGGGCATAATAACTAAAAGCTGCTTTTCCATTTTTATTCTCGGAACAGAGAGCAGAAACTGAATTCGGAAAATACGATCTATTTAACTTTTAGAGGAGTTTTCTAAGATAATAATCAGCCCATCTCCTGACAGGTACAATTCACCTCGTGAGCCATGCTGTTGCCCCCCCCCCCTTTCCCCGACATTTGTCAAAACGGCACTAACCGATCCGTTAAAACTCGCATCTCCTTTGTCGCGGTGTGTGATGCCAAGTGCTGTAAATGTCAAAGCATTTGTGATGAGGTGACAGGCAGTCGCTCAGCAGCAGACAGGCTTTGAAAGCGGAGCTGAGTACGAATCTTAAAGGCCAGACACGCCTCTAGAATGATGCTCATCTGCAGCAATCAACACAACAGACACCTTCACCCCCGTCCGTTACAAGGTAC